CTGGGACATGAAGCAGCCCTCAATAAATATAAAAGAATTGAGATCATACTATGCACACTTTCAGATCATAATGTTTTGAAACTTGAAATCAGTCACAGGAAGAAGTCTGGAAAACCTCCAAAAACATGGAGGTTAAAGAACACCCTACTAAAGAATGAATGGGCCAATCATGCAATTAGAGAAGAAATTAAAAAATATATGGAAACAAATGAAAATGAAAATACAACAAACCAAACTCTATGGGATGTGGAAAAGGCAGTCCTAAGAGGAAAGTACATTGCACTCCAGGCCTATTTCAAGAAATTAGAAAAAGCACAAGTGCAAAATCTAACAGCTCCCCTAAAGGAACTAGAGGCAGAGCAACAAGAGCACCCCAAGCCCAGTAGGAGAAAAGAAATAGTAAAAATCAGAGAAGAAATAAACAATATAGAAACCAAAGAACCAGTAATAGATCAATGAAACCAAGTGTTGGTTTTTTGAAAAAATAAACAAAACTGACAAACCTCTAGTCAGGCTTCTCAAAAAGAAAGGAGAGAGCACCCAAATAGACAAAATCAGGAATGAAAATGATTACATTTCATCATGATTACATTACATTCATGATTATTACAACCAACCCCTCAGAAATACAAGTAATTATCAGGGAATACTAGGCAAAATTATATGCCAACAAATTGGACAACTTGGAAGAAATGGGCAAATTCCTAAACACAAACTCACTACCAAAATTCACACGGGAAGAGATAGAAAATGTGAACAGACTTGTAACTAGTGAAGAAATTGAATCTGTTATCAAAAATCTTCCAACAAATAAGAGCCCTGGACCTGATGGATACCCTAGGGAACTCTACCAGATGTTTAAAACAGAATTAATACCCATTCTTCTCAAGCTATTCCAAAAAACAGAAATTGAAGGAAAACTTCCAGACTCATTTTATGAAGCCAGCATCACTCTGATTCCCAAGCCAGACAGAGATCCAGCAAAAGAAGAGAACTACAGGCCAATATCCTTGATGAATATGGATGCAAAAATCCTCAACAAGATACTTGCAAATCGAATCCAACAACACATAAAAAGAATTATCCACCAAGATCAAGTAGGATTCATTCCTGGGTTACAGGGCTGGTTCAACATTCGCAAATCAATCAATGTGATACATCACATCAACAAAAGAAAAGATAAAAACCATATGATCCTGTCGATAGATGCAGAAAAAGCATTTGACAAAATACTGCATCCCTTCATAATAAAGACCCTCGAGAAAGTCGGGATAGAAGGAACCTACTTAAACATCATAAAAGCCATCTATGAGAAGCCCTCAGCTAACATCATCCTCAACGGGGAAAAACTGAGAGCTTTCCCCCTGAGATCAGGAACACGACAGGGATGTCCGCTCTCACCACTGTTGTTTAACACAGTGCTGGAACTCCTAGCATCAGCCATCAGACAACAAAAAGAAATCAAAGGCATCAGAATTGGCAAAGTAGTCAAACTTTCACTTTTCACAGATGACATGATACTCTAGATAAAAAACCCGACAGACTCCACCAGAAGCCTACTAGAACTGATTCAAGAATTCAGCAAAGTTGCAGGATACAAAATCAACGTACAGAAATTGGTTGCATTTTTATATACCAATAATGAAACAACAGAAAGAGAAATCAAAAAACTGATCCCATTCACAATGGCACAAAGAACCATAAAATACCTAGGAATAAACCTAACCAAGGATATAAGAGATCTGTATGATGAAAACTATAAAAAACTTATGAAGGAAATTGAAGAGGACACAAAGAAATGGAAAAACATTCCATGCTCATGGATCAGAAGAATAAATATAGTTAAAATGTTATTACTACCCAAAGCAATCTACACATTCAATGCAATCCCAATCAAAATTGCACAGCATTCTTCTCAAAACTAGAACTATCCTCAAATTTGTATGGAACCACAAAAGACCCCGAATAGCCAAAGTAATATTGAAGAAGAAAATCAAAACGGGAGGTATCACCATCCCAGACTTTAGCCTCTACTACAAAGCTGTCATCAAGACAGTATGGTATTGGCACAAAAACAGACCCACAGACCAATGGAATAGAATAGAGAACTCAGATTTGACCCAAAAGTATACAGCCAACTAATCTTTGACAAAGCAGGAAAGAGTATCCAATGGAAAAAAGACAGCCTCTTTAACAGATGGTGTTGGGAGAACTGGACAGCAACATGCAGAAGAATGAAACTAGATCATTTTCTCACACCAAACACAAAAATAAACTTAAAATTGATAAAGGACCTGAACATGAGACAGGAAACCATCAAAACCCTAGAGGAGAAAGCAGGAAACAACCTCCTTGACCTCCACCGCAGCAACTTCTTACTTGACACATCCCCAAAAGAAAGGGAATCAAGAGCAAAAATGAACTATTGGGACCTCATCAAGATTAAAGCCTTCTGCACGGCAAAGGAAACAATCCATAAAACTAATAGGCAACCAACGGAATGGGAAAAGATAGTTGCAAATGACATACCAGATAAAGGGTTAATATCCAAAATCTATATGAAATTCACCAAACTCCACACCTAAAAAAAAAAAACCAACCCAGTGAAGAAATGGGCAGAAGACATGAACAGACACTTCTCTAAAGAGGACATCTAGATGGCCAACAGACAACTGAAACGATGCTCAGCATCCCTCAACAGGGAAATACAAATCAAAACCACACTGAGATACCACCTCACACCAGCCAGAGTGGCTTAACTGAGCAAATCAGAGGACTCTCGATGCTGGCGAGGATGTGGAGAAACGGGCATCCTCCTACACGGTTGGTGGGAATGTAAACTGGTGCAGCCCCTCTGGAAAACAGTGTGAAGGTTCCTCAAAATATTAACAATAGACCCCTCTATAACCCAGCAATAGCACTGCTAGGAATTTACCCAAGGGATATGAGTGCTGATGCATAGGGGCACATGGACCCCAATGTTCATAGCAGCACTCTCCACAATAGACAACACATGGAAAGAGCCTAAGTGTCCATCAACAGACAAATGGATCAAGAAGATGTGGTTTATCTGTAAGATGTAATACTACATGGCAATGAGAAAGAATGAAATCTGGCCATGTGTAGCAACATGAATGGAACTTGGGGGTGTTATGCTGAGCGAAATAAGTCAGGGGGAGAGGGACAATTACCATATGTTTGCACTTATAGGAGGATTAGGGGGAACTGAATGTAGGACCGTGGGGGAGAAGTAGTGTTGCGGACGAAATGACACAAAGGACAAGACACACACAAAAGACAGACACAGACACAACTCCGGCCGGAGGAACAATTCTACGCAAGCCCCTCTTGCGGTTTATTTTATACCTCGGTAACTGGATACAAACTGAAATCTACAAGATGCATTCCTTTACCAATTAAGGGCAAGTAGCCAAACACATTTCAAGGACAGGGGGGAGCAAAGGGAGGAAGCGACCACAACGTGTTTACTAAGAGGCCTGCTCATAATTCCAGCCTTCTCCTTACTTCTAAGTAAGGATGGTCCCTCGTTTGCGAGCGGACCATTAAACTTGGATATTGTGTGCAGGCCTCCTGGCAGAGCATCCTGTTTGCAGGCATGCTTTGCCCAGGCAGGGAGCCCCGTGTGCAGGCACATCCTCGCGTCCCTAACCACGCTTTCGTGTGGTCACTGTCGGGCTCCCACAAGTAGGGTGGGAAACAGTGGGGGAGGGGGAGAGAGGCAACCCATGAGAGACTCTTGAATGCTGAGAACAAACTGAGCGCAGATGGGGGTGTGGGGGGAGAGGGGTGATGGGCATGGAGGAGGGCACTTGGGATGAGCACTGGGTGTTACATGGAAACCAACTTGACAATAAACTATTTGTAAAAAAAAAAAGAAAGAAAAAAAATAAAATAAAAAAAGGAATGGTTTAATAGACCAAACTATGTAATCCTGGATAAACATTTAAATTACATACTCTTGGTATATAAATTACCTTATAAATTGAATCTCAGATCAGCAATACAGAAGGTAGAGAAGTTAACAAAATATTGCATCGTTTAGGTGTTTTAATTTTTTAAATATTTTTGAGAGAGAGAGCGACCGAGCGCATGAATGGGGGTGGGGTAGACTATTTTTGAGAGACAGAGGTAGCGCGCGTGCGCGCATGAGTGGGGAAGGGGCAGAAAGAGAGGGAGACACAGAATCAGAAGCAGACTCCAGGCTCTGAGGCGTGAGCACAGAGCCTGACGTACGGCTCGAACTCATGAACTGTGAGATCATGACCTGAGCTGAAGTCTGACACTGAACGTACTGAGCCACCCAGGCACCCCTAAATTTTTTAAGAAAATAAACAGCCAGGAATCATTTTATTCTTGCTGTGGAAAAATTATTATGAATTATTCCAAGATTTAATTGCAGCAGGACAAATTGAGCTTCTGTATGGTTTAGCTACGTACCTCTGGAGAGCTAAATAAGCTTGCAGACTGCTGAAACTTTTACATTAACGGACTTTAATTTTCACATTACCAGTTGTTTTTATGGCTTACATAATCACTGAACAATTTTTCAAAAATCATTTTAAATGAATGAAAACCTAAGGTTTTCAATATCTATGAAATAAGTAAAATACCGATTAGAATTAGACCGCTTACCTTCAACAAAAAGGCTAATGGCTTAATCATTACTGTCTACTCACGTCAGGTGAGTGGAGAAATTGAATTCTCCTGGAATTTTTATTTCAGTTTTCCCAGCAGATGTTGTACTACTTATTCACTAGTCCTCAACCTTACTCCCATCCCACGTGTTAACAACCCAAAGCGGAAGGCTTTCCATCTCGACGCTGCACAGCTTCCGGGAGTCCACTGATGCCGCTGGGCGGCCACTAGCCCCTGCTGAGCCGTGACTGACAGGCCTCCCGGCCAATCCCGTTCCACCTGCACATTCACTTTGATTTGCGGCAAAGAGGATACAAGAAACTCTGAGAAAGAACCGGCACAGATTCAGTGCCTCTTTACTGCCTTGTTTCCTGTGTTTTTATTTTTAGATAAAAATGGAAATAGGGCTACATGGAAAATTAACAACAACCAGAGAAAAGATGACGGGAAGTATAGACGTTTCAGTCTCGTCTCTTCAGGGCATGTCAACGGCTCTGCCTTCTGGGAAGGGACCTCACGAGCTGTAATACTTGAGGAGACCCTCCTCTGTCGGTTTCAGGATCTTCTTGTCGGCCATGTTGACCACCCACCCAGGAGCCAGACCAAAGAAGATCTGCCTTGGGTCCTTTCGAGTACTAAGCATTTTGAAGAGTTCATCTTTGGTGATGTCAGGTAAAATATAGCCATACTTCCTGGCAAGTGCGAGTCTCGCTTCAGGAAACGCGGCAGGGTCCGCCAGGTAACCACGATTCTTGGCGTCAGTGTAATAGGGCACCAGCGCCTCCGGCGGAAGCATGCGTTTGGGAATGGGCTGGCCACGCAGGAAGAAAGGAACAGGTTTGCACAGAATTTCTGAAAAGGGTTTAAACAAAAAAGATACAAATAATGGCTATGTACACATGATTTTAATTATTAATTTTTTAAATGTTTATCTTGGAGAGACCGGAAGAGAGAGCGCCCAAGTGGGGGAGGGGCAGAGAGAGAAGGGGGAACAGAGGATCTGAAGCGGGCTCTGTGCTGATGGCAGAGAGCCGGATGCAGGGCTCGAACTCACCGACCCTGAGATCATGCCCCAAGCCAGATGCTCAACCGATTAAGCCACCCTGGTGCCCCTTTTAATTATTCATTTTTTTACTACTACCAAAAGATGAGAATTTCCAAGCACTTTTTAAAAAATTATTATTAAAAAGGCTTGTCTTAGGTAAGCAAATGGAAATACTTCATTTTCAAAAATTTGGATCTTGAAAATCAAGTTACCCCTGGGTTGCCAACAATTAGTGAATATGTAAACATCGCATATAACATCATATGTAAGTCCCATGTTTAAAGCTAAAAACCTCATGACACACTGACTGGGGCAGAGGAGAAGCCACACCACTAACAGGAAACCGGGGCGTCCAAACCGCAAGTCCAAGGGCGGCGAGGACTCTGACCTCCTGTCGGGCAGCCAGCGGGAGACAGAGGGAGAAGAGAGGGCCCGCAGGCCGTCTTACCCAGGCTTCTTGGGTCGTAGAAGGCTGTAGTTACGACACCCCCATTTCTCTCGACTGCGGCAATGGCTAGTTCCGAAGCCAACTGCACTTCAATGTTGACCTTCGCCTGAAAGGTGTCGGCGCCCTGGAAACGGAACACGGCAGAGCAAAGTCCGTTTGTACGGTGTGGTTACAAGGAAAGTATAAAATCGGGGCAAACTGCCTTACGCTGTGTTTTCTCCTCCAAAATGCCTACAGTGTAACAGTAATTCCAACTCTAAACACGCAGTTCTTTCACATTTGTTTAGGCTGTCTCCGTTTACCAGTCTTCATCCTCTGTGAGCGAGGACGCTGTCACCCTACATATTCAGCAGACGGCAGCAACAGCATCCATCGCCAGTACTTCATCAATAGTGGACTGTTTACTCCTAACAATCCTGTGACAGAATTACTGCTACACCAGTTTCATAGATGGGGACACCAAAGCACAGAGAGGTTAAGTAACTTGTCAAGATCACAGAGCTAGGGTTCTAGTCACAGCATTTGGGTTTTGTTTTCTTTCTTTTTTTTTTTTTGAGAGCAAGGTTTAATGCTGTGTGTATTCAAACACAAAAGCTATTTTCAGCAGCATGGAGTTCTAGGTCACCCTGTAGATGTCCCTGAGGCCTTTCCTGAGGTCGCAGGCTGTTCCAGGCACAGCAGGAGCCCCACTGAAGGAGACAATAGCAGCAGACACCAGAGGGATCCAAGGAGGGTCAGTTTAATCATCCTTCTTAAACTTGCCATTGACATAGGGCACCCAGTTCAGAACCAGGGGCCAGTACGCAGCCCACACCGGCCCCACCATGCCTGCAGCGCCCCTCACGGCTGCCATGGGAGTCCAGGTCTGGGCCAGCTCATGGGAGCACGGGCCCAGGTACCTGCCCAGCATCGCAATGTGGGCCACAGCACAGGGCGACCCCGAGCATGTCTGCCATGCTGACATGGAGAAAACTTCTCTTCCTTATCCCTAAGTTAACGAGAGCCCAAGAAATTGGCGATGAGATTAGTGGGCTGGAACCAGTGGAAAAATAAAACATCTGACAACAGGGGCACCTGGCTGGTTCAGTTAGTAGGGCGTGCAGCTCTTGATCTTGGGGTTGTAAGTCTGAACCCCTTTTTTTTTTTTCTAATAGTTTATTGTCAAATTAGTTTCCACATAACACTCAGTGCTCATCCCCACAAATGCCTCCTCCATGCCCATCCCCCCTCCCCCCCACATCCATCAGTCCTCAGTTTTTGTCAGCATTCAAGAGTCTCTCATGGTTTGCTTCTCTCCCTTTCCCCCACCACTTCACCCCTTCTTCTCCCCCTTGTTACTCTGTCAAGTTCCTCCTAATCCTCCTATACGTGCAAACATATGATATTTGTCCTTCTCTGCCTGACTTATTTCGCTCAGCATAACACCCTCAAGGTCCATCCATGTTGCTACACATGGCCAGATTTCATTCTTTCTCATGGCCATGTAGTATTCCATCGTATAGATAAACCACATTTTCTTGATCCATTCGTCTGTTGATGGACACTTAGGCTCTTTCCATGTTTTAGCTATTGTGGAGAGTGCTGCTATGAACATTGGGGTACATGTGCTCCTATGCCTCAGCATTTCTGTATCCCTTGGGTAAATTCCTAGCAGTGCTATTGCTGGGTCATACGGAGTTCTATTGTTAGTTTCCTGAGGAACCTCCACACTGTTTTCCAGAGGGGCTGCACCAGTTTGCATTCCCACCAACAGTGTAGGAGGGTGCCCATTTCTCCACATCCTCGCCAGCATCTAGAGTTCTCTGATTTGCTCATTTTAGCCACTCTGACTGGCGTGAGGTGGTATCTCAGTGTGGTTTTGATTTGTATTTCCCTGATGAGGAGGGATGCTGAGCATCGTTTCATGTGTCTGTTGGCCATCTGGATGTCCACTTTGGAGAAGTGTCTGAGTCTGAACCCCTTCTTGTGCGTAGAGATTAAAAATAAAATCTTTTTTAAAAATCTGGAGCACCTGGATGGCTTGGTCACTTAAATATCTGACTCTTGATTTCTGCTCAGTTCATTATCTCACAGTTCATGGGTTCGAGCCCCACATTGAGCTCTGTGCTAACAATGTGGAACCTGCTTGGGATTCTCACTCTCTCTGCCCCTCTCCCCCAATCTCTCTCTTAATAAATAGATAAACTTAAAAAAATAAATAGGGGTGCCTGGATGGCCCAGTCAATTGGGCGTCCAACTTCCACCCAGGTCATGATCTCACAGTTCATGACTTCAAGCCCCACGTCGGGCTCTGTGCTGACAGCTCGGAGCCTGGAGCCTGCTTCAGATTCTGTGTCTCCCTCCCTCTCTGTCCCTCCCCCACTAGCGCTGTGTGTGTCTCTACTATGGATAAACACTTTAAAAAATATTTTTAAATAAATAAAAAATGAAATCAGGTCTTGCCATATTATTTGTGAAATTTAGTAACTCTTCCAGATCGCCCAACTGTTTCCCTTTTCTTGAGCATTAGAGTTAGTTCTGGTGTTTTCAGCACTATAAATACTATTTTCAGGAATGTCTTTATATCAGTGAAGTTTCCCTTATGTTGTTATTCCTTGAAAACATATATTCTGAAATTGGTAATTTTGTGCTAAGGAGTAGGTCTTATTACCACTATTTACTGCAAATCTAAAATCCAGAAAAGCCAGTTTACAGAGCTGCAAGTGACTGTGCAACTGTACTTACTCAACTGTTGCCCTGGTGTAGTTTTCAGGGTTATTTTCCTAGTTTAATACAGACACGTGCCTGAGAGCTGTTGGGGTGTGTTTACTGGCTGACAAGGTGACAGATTTTTCCGTATTAATTTATATGTGTGTTCCCTTATATAGCCCAAATAGAATACTAAGGCTTAATGGTGTATTCTGTATTTTATTTTCAAATCATTTTATTTGGAAAACTTTTCTCCACAAGGTTCACTTTTTCAAAGGAACCTAAAAGGTTCTTCCATAAACACATGCTTCCCTCTGGTGGACACCAAGTTACTTACACAGCTGTCTTACCTCCAAGAAACAAAAGTATTAATGAATAAATTTAATTGCTTATGAAACTCTTGGCCAATTTCTTTTTTTCTTACATTTCAATGTTTATTTATATTTGAGAGAGAGAGAGATAGTGTGTGAGCAGGGGAGGGGCAGAGAGAGAGAGAGAGAGAGAAATGGAGACAGAATCTGAAGCAGGCTCCAGGCTCCATGCTGTCAGCACAGAGCCTGACGCAGGGCCCGAACTCAGAAGCCATGAGATCATAACCTGAACCGAAGCATAGAAAAATTCTTTGCTGCAGTTAGATTTGGATTTGATTCTGGGTATCTGAGTGGCTCAGTCGGTTGAGCATCTGACTTCAACTCAAGTCATGATCTCATAGTTCATGAGTTTGAGCCTTACATCAGGCTCTCTGGTGTCAGCGTGGGGCCTGCTTCAGATCTCTGTCTTCTTCCCTCTGCCCCTCACATACCCCCTCTCAAAAATGAACAAATATTAAAAAAATAAATAAGAAACTTTCTAAAAAAGAAACTGGGTTTGATTCATTCCTTTTCTCCATAAATACTAATTATTATGAGCCAATATTTCCAATACTAAAAATATAGCAACGAACCAAGTACTTGTCATCAAAGAAGTTACATTATAGTGTGAAGAAGAGAATGAAAAAATAAGTGCATTACTTGCTGATAAAGGTCAAGTGTTTAAATATTCAAAGAAAAATACTCTGCACAGGGCAAAGCAGACACAAGTGTGAGGAGGGAGGGGAGGTGTTGTGAGCATTCTGTCATAAAACCCTGATAGGATGTTTTGAGTAGAGAATCAAAGGGAGCGAGAGAGCAAGCTAAACAGCTACACTGAAGAGCAGCCCAGAACCAGATACGAAGGCCCCTCAGGAGAGCAGGCCGATCTCTTCACACTACAACGGAGTGTAACACACAGTAATGGTTATAGGACACTCAAAAGAACTAAAAATTGAGGGGGGGCCTGGGTGGCTCAGTAGGGTAAGTGTCCAACTCGTGATTTCACCTCAGGTCATGATCTCGAGGTTCATGGGTTCCAGAACCCCACAATGGGCTCTTTGTTGACGGTGCAGGGCTGGCTTGGGATTCTGTCTCCCTCTCTCTCTGCCCCTTCCCTGCTCTCTCTCTCTCTCTCTCAAAATAAATAAATAACCATTAAAAAATAAATAAAAAGAAGGAAGGAAAGAAAGGAAGAAAGAAAGAAAAGAAGAAAGAAAGGAAGAAAGGAAGAAAAAAATTGGGGCGCCTGGGCCAATTTCAGCTCAGGTCATGATCTCATGGTTCGTGAGTTCAAGCCCCACTCCAGGAAAGCTCAAGCCCTGCTCCAGGCTCCACACTCTCTCCTTCTCTCTCTGCCCCTCACTCACTTGCACTCTCTCAAAAAGATTTAATTAACTAATTAATTAAATTAACTAATTAATTAAAGAAATAAAAATTTAAAAGGCAGAGTGTTGGTTATATGGTAATCAGAAACAGCCTTCATGTAACACCAAAAATCTCATGCAGACTTACCTCCTCTACCAGCTGGACACCATAATCCCTCTTAAGTGGCTGGATGGTCACACCTCTCCCATTGACAAGCTGAGTTAAGTCAATAGGTTGAGTAGGATCCACTCGACCCAAATCAATAAGATACTGCAATCTATTGAGACTCAAAGGCTGATACTGCCGTCTGAAGCTACAAAACAAAGTAACAATTGGGAAACTCAGTCAAACTTCTCTTCCTGTAAGTTCTTCAAACTGACTCAAAGCTCTGTCCTATATTGTCCTCTCTCGATTTAGATGACTTAACAAAAATAAAAACATCCTGGGGCGCCTGGGTGGCTCAGTCGGTTGAGCGTCCGACTCAGGTCATGATCTTGCGGTTGATGAGCTCAAGCCCTGCATGGGGCTCTGTGCTGACAGCTCAGAACCTGGAGCCTGCGTCAGATTCTGTGTCTCTCTCTGTCTCAAAACTAAGCATTAAAAATAAAGAAATAAAATAAAAGCATCGCGAGTGCAACAAAAACACATAATATTGCTTGCTTTTTGTCAATGAAACAAAACCCATAGTTCATTTCATTAAACATAGTTTGCCTCTCTAAGCATTTACTTCACTCAAATAAATTTGTCAAATTTGAATTAGGCATTAACGGAGCTCAAAGTAACCAGAGTAGTTGTCATTTATGGGGTGACTACAATTGTTCAGGTTTTTATATATATTATTGCTAAGCCTCTAACCAACCACACAAAAGCTGGTCTTATATTCTCCTTTGCAGGTCTGAGTATAAAGTCTGGGCTTTTTTTCCTACTAATCCAGGCTAAATCTCATTACCAAAAATTAAAACAGAAAAACGACAATAAAAGTTTGACTCAAAGTGAATTTAAATTTCTACCAAGCTTTTTTTTTTTTTTTTTTGCTGATTGTCCATGAAAATCAGGGATGTTTCCTTTAAAAAGCAAAGCAACCTTACCTATGACCTTCATTAAACCCGTATTTTGGGATTCGAATATAAAATGGAGTCTGGCCTCCCTCAAAACCCAGTCTGGGCCGGGTTCCTCTCTGCCGCTCTCCTTTATGGCCTCTGCCACATTTTCTACCTCTTCTCCGACCCCTTCGCCTTCTTTCCTACAAGGAAAGGAAATACCATTCATTAATCCAGTCAACCTGTACCCCCAGTTCACGCTACGTGCCAAGCTCTGTTCTCGGTGCTCTACCCTCCAACACTTTTAAGTTAGCATCAAATTGTGGTTCAAAGGCAAAGTTCCAAGGACGGAATGGAGATAAGGATTCTAGATACGCTGGAAATGAAAAAAAAAATCCTAGAAAATCAAACATCCACAACAAACAGGGCTGACACGACATTCAACAACACTTACGTTGTCATTAACTGTAAATACATAACCGTTGCCCTGGTATATTATTTAAACCCAAACTCACAAAGTAATTTTCCTAAATCAACTTCCTGTCCCTTCGTGAAAACAACGAACTGATTTTTTAAATGACAGTGTGCGGGGGCACCTGGCTGGTTCCCTCTCGGGTTGTGAGTTTCAACTCCACGCTGGGTGGAAATCAAATCTTCTTGAAGATAAATAAATGACAGTATGTCAATTAACAGCTTTTCCAGCTGTATGCAGTGATTTGCAGGAAAGACATCCACCGTCATCAACCCAAACCTTTCCCACGAAAATAAAAGTAATGGGAAAGTGCCTTATTTTTAAATCCAATTCTGAACAAGACGATCATCTTAATTCCCACCGACTTCGCTCCTCCGCCCCAATTACAGAATTCCGCTTTACAATATAAACCTTCTCGTTACGAATTGGGGTCGTGTGGGAACCCTCCTCCGTGCAGTCGAGACGAGGGCTCGGCAACCCTACGTTCATCCCAACACCCTTCAGGGGAGAGAAGAGACAGGCCGCTTCCGTCGCCCGGTGCGCCAGCGCCTCCCCGCACCGCCACCAGCCGCTTACCGGTTTTCGAGAACCTGGGTTCGGCTTCAGGTTCGCCAAGCTCACTCGGGGAAGGGCCCGGAGCAGCTCCAGAGCCCCCGCCCCGCCGCCCCGCAGGGGACCGGCCATGACCCGCACCGCCACGGCCCTCCAAGGACGCCCGGGGTCGCCTCGGAGCCCACGTGGTCTCCGCGCGCTGCTTTACGGCCGCCGCCCCACCCTCGTCGTGAAGCCGGAAGTGCGGCGCTCGCGGCCGCTGGGTTTGGGGGCGTCCGGGAGGCCCTGGTGGCGTAGGGGTTTTTGCAGCTTCGCGGTCTCCGTTGCTCTGCATCTTTTTCATGGTTTTAGTTCGCTCGGGACGTGAGCATCGTTTGAGGGAGGTGCGTTGACCTTGTCTTGAGCAGACGGCGTTTTCCGCGGCTTTAGAAGAGCGCGCGTCGAAGACGCTGTGCGTTAGAGAGTCCTGGAGTCTGGCCTGGCACGTTTTGCCGGGTCGCCTTGTCCTCTTTATGAGGCAGTGTCTTTCCCGAGCTCCACCTGCAGCTCAGAATCATATAGCGGGAACGCTAAGCCCTTGGCGTTGAGCTTCGCCTGGTTACACGCGGTCAGATGCAAACGTCATACCGAGGGTCCAGCTATTAAAATGCCTGGCTCCCGCCGACCTGTGCCTAAGACTGTGTGCGGCCGCATCCCTGGGTCTCTGCTGTGTTGCTTTGGCCGAGCTACCGACATAATTAATTTCGCTTATTATTGAATAATGTTGGAGCCACACTGAGCGCTGTTAAGTCAGCCTTACTCGGTTTCTCTCAACAACCAGTCGTAGAGGTAGATGTTTTTATTTCTTACAGACCAAGAAGCTTAGGCTTGGCAAAGTCGAGTGGCCGGACCCAGGTCTCACCGGAAAAGGCAGAGCCAGGATTCACTTAACACTGCCTCCTTACAAAGTAGTGTTTTTTATCATTTAAAATGGAATATCTGCAACACAAAATACATAAGGTTATTTTCATTCAAAAAATATCTTCCCTATTTTTGCCTTAAGGGGATGTAATATAAAAGACCATGTTCCCTTCTTTTTTTATTCTCTTTACAGTTCACCGTCTTGCTGTGCAGTTGTTCTTCCTAGTTCCCATTAGTTATAAAAATAGTGAAGGTGAGAAATTTTTGGAGGGGAACTACTCCTATGTTTGCCTAAACATAAGTTATTTTGAATGAAATAGAGAAAAGATGCATGTCTTTAAGCACATTTATGAGCAGGTCACTTACTTGTTGCCAAGAAATATACAAAGGCAAGGGGCGCCTGAGTGGGTTGGGTTTCTGAGTAGACTTGGGTCGTGAATTCTCGGCTTACGGGTTCCAGCCCCAAGGGGAGCTCTGTGCCGACAGCCCAGAACCTGGAGCCTGCTTTGGATTCTGTGTCTGCTCTCACTGCCCCTCCCCCGCTCACACTCTGTGTGTGTGTGTGTGTGTGTGTGTGTGTGTGTGTGTGTGTCAAACATGAATAAACACAAAATGTTTTTTAAGTAAAAAGAAATACACAAAGGTGAAATCAAATAGGATCTTGCTCCCAGGTTTTTTGAAATCTAGAACAGGAAATATCAAAATTGAGTATTTTTTTAAAGATTTTATTTCTTTTTTTTTTTAATTTCCTTTTAGGATCATCTCTTTTATATATATATATACACATATATATACATATATATGTGTATATATATATGTATATTTACTTATTTTGAGAAAGAGAGTGAGCAAGCATGCGCGAGTAAGGGAGAGCCTGAGAGAGGAGAGAATCCCAAGCAGGCTGCACACTGTCGCACAGAGCCAAGCTCCATCCAACTCAGGAACCCAGGTAGGAAATCAAGGGTTTGATGGTCAACTGAGTGAGCTACTCTAAAGACTTTATTTGTAAGTAATCCCTACACCCAGTGTGGGACTCAAATCCACACCCAAGATCAAGAGTTGCTCACTCCAACTGAGGCAGCCAGGAGCCCCAAAGTTGAGTATTTTTCAAAAGGTAAAAAAAAAAAAAAAAAAAAGTAGGCTTCCTGTAGACCTAACAGCACAAGTAGAAGAAAAATACGAGTATGAGCTCTATAAAAAAATATAAAGTACAGACTCTATTTGGAAGTACAAAAGAAAATAGAGAAAAAAGTAGAAACTAGTTCCTGACTTTAAGGGTTTCAATTCGATGTATTTCATCATCTTTTTGTGAGAAATTTCTTCTGGGAAGAAAATTGCAAAATCTATCGCAAAATGTGCCCTAATCTATAGGAAGAGTCACAACTTTTTTCCTCTACCTAGAAATCGGTGCTTGCCTTAAGTAATGGATTTCTGGGTGAGTGTTAATACTAATAACATTTTTAAACACACAATTTTTATTGAATAAATGAGATACAGGAAATATAAAACAATGCACTGCACTTCCTGGCAGAGATGCTTTTTGTTGTGTAGGTCATGTAATGTTATTGGGGGACATCGGTTAATAATAGTGGAAATAATTGTCGTTAATTGTAGGCTACATGTTTGTTTATCCCATATCCAACATGTTAATGACGCATATAAAACTGTCAATTTGATGAGTAGCATCTGTGTTCTAAAAATGTAAATTAATGTTGTGTGATAAATAGGTCATTAATCTTACCTTAAGCCTAGGTAAGTGTTACATCATCGTCATTATGGCATGAGAATATTTACTAAGCACCCACATGATTGGGGTGTTGCACTGTACCCTGTTTAAGTCATTAAGAAGACTTTGTAATAAAACATTTCAGGAGCACCTGGGTGGCTCAGTCGGTCAAGCGTCGACTCTTGATTTTGGCTCGGGTCCTGATACGGTTCTTGAGTTCGAGCCCCCCATAGGCCTCTGTGCTGCGAGTAAGGAGGCTGCTTGGGATTCTCTCTCCCTTTCTCCTTTTCTGCCCCGCCCGTGCTTGCACATTCTCTCTCAAAATAAATAAATAAACTTGGGGCACCCGGGTGGCTCAGTCGGTTAAGCCTCCAATTTCAGCTCAGGTCATGACCTTGCAGTTTGTGAGTTCGAGCCCCGCGTCGGGCTCTGTGCTGACAGCTCAGAGCCTGGAGCCTGCTTCGGATTCTGTGTCTCCCTCTCTGCCCCTACCCTACTCACACTCTGTCTCTCTCTCTCTCTCTCTCATATGAATAAACATTAAAAAAATTTTTTTAAATAAAATAAACTTAAATCTTCAAATAAAAAAAAAACATTTTCAGTGACTACGGTCCATGCTGATTCCAGGTGCAGCTAGTAATGTCTACTGCATAATTATATAAAAGGAACGAAATGAACCCTGTAAAGGTGGTACAATTTGAAATTCCTTGGGAAGTCCTCTTTCTCACACACTCCTAATCACTTTTTTGCCACTTATCCAAGGACCCGAAGACTCCATCAACATAGCTTAATTCCTTTGAACTCATTTAAAATGAAAATTCTCTGGGCGCCTAGCTCAGTAGGTTAAGCATCTGACTTTGGCTCAGGTCATGATCTTGTAGTTCATGAATTTGAGCCCCATGTCAGGCTCTGTGCTGACAGCTCAGCTGTTTCAAACTCTGTGTCTCCCTCTTCTGCTTCTCCCCTGTTTGTGCTCTGTCTCTCCCTCTCTCAAAAATAAATAAACATTTAAAAAATGTTTTTAATGAAAATTCTCAAAGTGGGTAGAGAATGAGAGTGGGGAAGTGAAAATAAACGGGGGTTAATTTCATCATACAGGGTACTTTACGGGAACCATAATAAAATACACAAGGAAGAGTCTAATCAACTCAGTCCTCTTTTTTTGACATTAAAAACCAACAAAACAAAAACATGTGCATAAAACTCCTAAATGAGAACACGCATTAAAGAATATTTTGGCAGGGATGGGAACAGAAGGAAAAGAATTTCAGTTATTAGATTATAACTGACTTTTTCTGTGAGTCAAGAACAAGTCACTTTTAGAGTGAGACCAAGAACAGGCTTATTTTGTGTTTATCAGAGTTGAGAATTGGAAAAGAACTGGAGATGAGAGTTTCCTTAGTGAAGAGAGGAGGAACCAAGCGACAGGAGAGCAGTGAATCCCTTTGATACTGAGAGAAAACAATATCAAGTGAGCTAAGAAGAGAGCATGGAAAGGGATGGAAATAAATGTCATCTGGATAAAACCTAGCTCGTTTTATCAAAGGTTGGCCCTGACTTACGGGTCTTCATTTATACCTGAATAGTTTTTGTTTTAATTTTATTAAAGTATATTAATGCATGCATTCGTTTGGAGAAAAAGCAAGTAGTACAGAAGAGTCCATAATGAAAAACAGGAATTTTCCCTAGGCAATCACTTTTAACTTTCTGTTTTTATTTCATCTGGTGATTACCTCTATATTTATAAATTAAAATATCTCTATCACTAATTGTTTTATCAATTTTTTGGACATTGTATGTTCACTTGCCTTAAGATAGATGAAGACTTAGATAATTTAAACTCTCTCCCAGTCTTTTAGTTCTCTCGATGGTAAATGTGTAATTTAAATAACGTGAGTACTTTAAGTATCTATTTCTTTTTTTTACTATCTATTTCTTAGATTTTCAACTATCAAAAGTATCCAGAAGCTCCTCACTCCGTATAATATGAAGATACTGACTCATCTAACCTCTCACTTTTTGGCCCCTTCTACCGACATCTTTTAGTTATGTATCTTTTTTTAACATTGTCATGGATATAAGTAAGAAGCTATAACAATTACTGGATTTGCTCTTTCTCTCTAGAGAGAACTAGCTTTCAGGCTAACAGGCTTTCTTTAAATTCAAGATCACAGACCCTAAATTGGTCACCCTACTCCAGTGTCCTAGAGAACTTAATTTTTCACTCTCCACAATGACTATGTTGTATCTTCTTTCTCAGCCAATGATTTTCCCTTCTACTTTAGAAAAAGAAGTCATGAGATAAGGCATTTTGACATATCCCACCACTAAATGCCCAATCCTTCCTATCACTGCATACATTCTCTGTATCCTATTAAAGATAAGGAAGTGGCTTTCCTCCTGCTAGCTTTCAGTCTTTCCACCTGTGATCTGGACTTCCATGCCTCCCACCTGCTTAGGGATTTTGTTGTTTTGAATATCCTTTCTGTTTCCCGCATCAGCATCATCAGTCTCTCCTCATGCTGGGTGGTCTCATAAGCCTATTAAAATGCTATCATTCATTTAAAAAAAAAAAAAAGCTATACCTCATTTCTTTATCCCTTCATCCATCCACATCCATTCAGCTGTATCCATCTCTCTGCTTTCATAGCAAAATTCCTCAAAAGAGTTCTACATAGGCCATCTCTATTTCCTCTTCCTTAATCCCATTTTTTCCTATGAATAACCTCCACGTTGCCAGTTCTGATAAGAAATGCAAATCAAAACCACAATGAGGCATTGCCTTGCAAATGTTAGGATGAGTATTGCCAAAACAAAACAAAAGATAATAAGTGTTGGTAGGGGGTGTGGCAAAATCGGAACCCTGTGCACTGTTCGTGGAAATGTACAATGGTGCAGGCACTTTGGAAGACAGTACAGAGATTCCTCAAAAAATTCAAAATAGAACTAGCTCTATGATCCAGCCATTCCACTTTTGGGTATATACCCAAAGGAATCGGAATCAGGATCTTGAAGAGATATTTCCCATGTTTATTGGAGCACGATTCACAATAGCCAAGATATGGAAACTGCCCAAATGTCCAATGAAAGACAAATGGAAATAGAAAATGTGGGATATTAAAACTAATGTAACATTGTGTGGCAATTATACTCAAAATTTTAAGGATATGTGGGATATACATATAACTAGATATTATTCAAACTTAAAAATTAAGGAAATACTACCATTTATGACAAGATGGAGGGACTGGGAAGACATTATGTTAAGTGAAGTCAATTAGTCACAGAAGGACAAATACTGCATGATTTCTCCTCTACAAAGTATCTACAATAGTCAGAGAAGCAAAAAACAGATTGGTGGTTGCCAGGAGGTAGGAGTGAGTTTGATAGGAGCTGAGATGGGAGAGTTGTTTAATGGGCATAAAGTCTCACTTATCCAGGATGAGTAAGTTCTGGAGATCTACATTACAACACTGTGTCTATTGTTAACAATATGGTATGATGCACTAGTTAGAGGGTAAATCTTATGTTGAATATTCTTACCACAAACAAAAAGCCAGGGGACACAAGAAGTTTTTTTGATGTGATGGTTATTCTTTTTTTTTTTTTAAGTTTATTTATTTAAGTAATCTCTACACCCAACGTCGGGCTCAAATTCACAACCCCAGGACCAAAAGTCACCATCCTCCTCTACTGAGCCAGCCAGGTGCCCTGGTGATGGATATTCTTATTACCATGATTGTGGTGATGGTATCACGGGTCTACGTTTATATCCAAACTCATTGAAATATACACATTACTCGTGTACAACTTTTGTATATTATGCCTCAAAAAAGCTGAACAAAATTGAAATTCTGTTCTTTTAAAGGAGTGCTTAGCATCATTCAAGGCAGTTGATCACTTGGTCCTTAAAACACTTTGTTTGATTTCTGGATAGCCTACATTTTTGGTTTTCTTCTTCCATCCTGGTTGATCTCTCTCACTTTCACTGGGCTGTCCTAAACTATCTGCCCTCTAAATGTTGAAATTTAGGGGCACCTGGGTGGCTTAGTCGGTTGAGCGACCGACTTTGGCTCAGGTCATGATCTCACGGTTCGTGGGTTCGAGCCCTGCATCAGGCTCTGTGCTGACAGCTAGCTCAGAGCCTAGAGCCTGCTTTGGATTCTTTGTCTTCCTCTCTTTCTCTGACCCTCCCCTGTTTACACAGCCTCTCTCTCTCTCAGAAATAAATAAAACATTAAAAAAATTTTTTAATAAATAAATGTTGAAATTTATTTTTTATATGCAGGTATTCCCTCAAGGTGATCTTAAATGGTTTACAGATTCTCAGATTTATATCTGTATCCCAAATTAGAGTTCAACTTGTACGTATCCAGCTCCTCAATTGATATCTCGACTAAGATGTCTTCTTAACATCATCAAACGGGGATTTGAGATTTCCAGCACTCTACCACATCTTCCCCAAACTTCTCCTCCCTTATGTTCCCCATGTCAATAAATAGCACCTTCATTTCCCTAGTTATTAAAGCCAAAACCTAAGAGTCATTCTTACTGCTCTTCTTTCCCTGTTTCATACATCAACAACACCTATTTCTCTTAAACACCATGCTGGTTCAACCCACCACCATTTTGCCTAGAACAATGCTACAGTCTACTGATGACTATTTTCACTTCCACCGCTGCCCCCTTCTAATCCATTTTCCAAAAGTAGTCAGAATGTCGATACCCTTCAGTGGCTTCCCATTGCACCTGAATAAAATGCAAACTTCTTACCAAGGACTATAAGAATCAGGCTGACCTGATTCCTTCCTGTCTCTCTATCCTCAAAGTGCTGGGAATACTTCAGTGAATTAATTAAATAAGCAAGTCCTTTTTTTTTTTTTATTTTAAGGGGGAAGGGGGAGAGAGAGTCCCAAGCAGTCTCCACTGCTCTGTGGGGTCTGACTCAGGGCTTGATCTCATGACTGTGAGACCATGACCTGATGCAAAATCAAGAGTTGGGTGCTTAACTGACCTACTGAGCCACCGAGGTGTCCTAGGCAAGTCTTATTATGGAGTTTTCTGGGTTATTTTGGGGGCGGGGGGGAGATATAATAAATAAGTTCAAATAAATAAAACTGTTTCTGAGAATAAAGAGTACCATGGAGACAATTAAACAGGGGATTATGTTAGAGAAGAACTGATATTTGTGGTGTCTTTTAGACTGAGTGGTCAAAGATTGCCTCTCTGAAGGGACATTTGAACCAAAGGACACAATAGAATTTTTAGCATTTTCTATGCAAAAGTTTATTTTGTATTTTATTTGTATTTATAGTTGTAAGTCTCTTTTTATACCTAATCATATTACTCTTTCTCCTAGCTTCCCCAGAAGTAGTCACTACTCTGAATTTAGAATTTATCCTTCCTATGCACTTCTTTGTACTTTTACTCTACCTCTATATATCCGTTATCAATCTATAATATTTTGAGATTTGGGCTTCTGGCAATGATGCGGCAAGAACTGAATAATAACTAAGAACACAATTTATCTTCCCATCTCATACAACAAAACAACCAGACAAAATATACAGTATCTTGGCTTCCAGGTATTAGGCAACAAGCATTTCTCTGAGAGAAATGAAACAAAAAATTTGAGCTATATTATTGTTCCAATTGATGTCCTAGAGTGAATTTCCAGGCTGTATACTGGGAAGAAGTACAAGAGAGGCCTCTGGTCTCCCAGAGAGGAAGAGAGAGAGCTTGCACAGGGAAGGCCTGCTAGCATTTATGAGATCAAGTACAAGAGAAGAGAAAGCTGTTCAGGGAGAGGTCCAAACGAGTACCGGTCAACACATGTGTGTGAAGAAACCACTCAAGGCCAGTGAACAACCATGAGAAAGATTCAAGCAGAAGATTTTCCAGAGTTCACTCAGGGCTAGGAATACGGTATCTTTCCACTAGCCAAATGGAAAAAATAATAAAAAAATAAATAAAAAGATTCCTAACACAAGGACATTTTCAAAATGTTACCACATAAGTGTGGGGACCAAATTAGCCCTACAGTCAGTGGACCCGCCTAGCAAAGCGAAAAAGCAAGCCTCAAACAGACCAATGTAACACGTGACTTAACTGCATTCCAAAACAAACACCGAAACCATTTGAGGAAAAAAATGCAGAAACTCCAACAACTAACAAAATAACAAAAATAATCCACATAAGCATATTGTAAAAGAAAAGAATTAACAGATAAGCAAACAGGCAAGAAAGAAATGAAAAAAAAAATCGATCAATCTAAGTAGATCCAGAAACGACAGAGATGACAGAAATAATTGGCAAGAATGTTTATTTTTTAAATTTTTTTAATTTTTTAATTTTTATTTTTTACAAATAGTTTATTGTCAAATTGGTTTCCATATAACACCCAGTGCTCATCCCCACAAGTGCCCTCCTCCATGCCCATCTCCCCTCTCCCCCCCATATCCATCAGTCCTCAGTTTGTTTCTCAGCATTCAAGAGTCTCTCATGGTTTACCTCTCTCCATTTCCCCCC